GATGTGACTTATGAAGACTTGGTGATCCAGCAGAATTAATTCAGTTTGTCTTTATGAATGGTAATGGTAAATGGATCGACTCTTATCTAGCACTTTGCTACTCTCCTGAGGCAGTTTGAACATGGATAAAGTAACGGGATTACTTTTTTGGGGAAGTAATCAGTAATTAGTTACTGACAGTGGGAAGGAAAAACTCCCTTTCAGCAGGATGGGCTGAGGGGTGGGAGAGATATATTGATATTGATATTGAGAATAACTGATGGTTAAATGCAAAGGGGAATAAAAATATGTGAGTGAACAGGAAATGCTCAGCAGCCCAGGCCTATTGCAGCATAACTAACATACACACGTTACCTTTCTTGTGCCAGGATTAATATGCACCATAATGTCCATTATTTTTTTTAATTGCATAACCAATGCAGGGATTTGGTGGGGTACACCCTAGACAGGTCACTAGTCTATCACAGAATTAACACAAAGACACTCATTCATACTTTCAGCCAATCAGTTAATCTAAGGTCATGTCACACAGACCTTGAGACTGGCAGTCAATCGCCCACCAATCACAGGCCACAAGAGACAAAGCGGTATTTCCCCAAACAGTTAGCGAGTTGTTGCTGGCAGTCACTTATTGCTAAACCCCGGTGATGCATGCCTAGAGACCGGTCAGTGACGCGCCCAGTGCATATGATGCTACTTACTACACATAATGTCTCCCTGTATATATTCACTAAATGTATATAATGTTCTCTCCCTTTTTGCACAGTCGAGGAGCGTCAGGATACATTTCACTGCGTGTTGTACTCGTATAACTATGCATGTGACAAATAAAGGATCTTGAATCCCAACAACAAAAGAATGTGTACTCCACAATCAGTTGGCAGTTAGTTACTGTAGATTTAGTAGCATATGGTGCTGCACCCAAAATGTCCACACAGAAAGGAGCACGTTGGGCACTGAATTCAAACCCTGAATCTTTTTTGGTGTGATGTAACAGTGATAACCACTGCAGCATCCTGCAACTTAATTTGGTGTATACCTAATAATGTGTATCATGCAGATCGAGAGCAAAAACTGAACCCCATGAATGCTACTAGTCCTTAGAGTGGACATTCTTCAGGGAAAATGCTGAGATCTTGCAGAGAATCACTGAGAAGTTTGACAGACTTGGAGCTGCTAAAAGAAAAAAGCAGCACGATTAATTAAAGTCGGATTTATTCATTTGAACACTACAAATATCTAATAAATATCTTAGCAGTCCAGCTATTCAGTCATTGAAATTGTTTTACATATCTTGGTACTGACTTCTGTACCTGTGAGTCTGAAATGACCAGTGTTGAGTAACGAATGTGGTTTTCACTTTGTTTTATGTAAACTGAGTATTTGTTGGAAGCTTAAATCTATACGACTAAAGAAAAGTATCAAATACATGAATCATTTGGCACATCTTAATGAACGTTCAATGACTGCCTTCACTTTTCTAGTGTTCTGAAAAACATGAGAACTAAAAGTTCGATTTCAAATTGATAACCTGCAAACGCAACAGTAACTCAGTGTCAGTTACTTTCCAGTAGGAAGCTGCACTTTTCTCCTTTTGTATTATCAGGGTATTTAGGAAGGGATTATGGGAAGCTAACAGGACGTTGTTTCTATGACCTCATGGAGCGAGCTCCATGCTCTGGCAGTGGGGATGTTCACTGTGGCCAGAAGAAAGTGGAGTCTGTGACTGGAGCCCGGTTCACTCAGTCAGATAGCGGTGATTCAAAACCCATTTGTTTTGGGCGTAGAGGATGCTCTCAGTGGTTTGGCTGTGATTGATCCTTCTTCTGCCCGTGATCGCACCGTGACACTATTCCAGTTTCCACATTCATTTTTCCCCTG